ATTTCAAGCTTTCCTGCTCCAGCATTGGAATGCCGGGCATGGACATTTTTTTTTTTTATTTTGAAAATCAACAGTTTGCATTATGCAATTAAAAATCCTAACCAATAAAGTAGGGAATAGCTATCCAACTGTTGTTTTAGTTGTATTTTACTTCATATTATAGTTATATCAATGTAAATCATTGTTTTCCCTTGTGTTTCCCATTCTTTCCCTGCCATGTCGTAAAATGTGGTGAACCCATCGCTGTATTTGCTCCAAAGCAAATATTGGCCTTTCTAGTTAATTGTTTGATTCTAAAACAAGCTATAGTGAAGCTCATAATTGCTCAAACAGGGGAGGTAAAAAGGACCCAACTTCTTGAAGAAGAAAAGAATAAGGCCACAGCAAGTAAATTTTATGGATGACATCCTCCGCAGACTCCAAATCTAATGCGAGCGGGCGAAAAAAAACAAGGCAAGCCAAAAAAAAAACAAGACTTTTGAAATTTTGACTCAATCATTGGTTTTGATTTTAAATAGGAACATCACATACATTGTATACACAGCCAACATCACATATCACTGCATCAAAGTAAGAAACAAAACATGAAATCAGAGCCTTTTCTTGTCTCCTCTCTTCATAGTTATCTGCCATCCACCTTCCAGCATGGCAAGTTAGCAAGACATCTTTGCCCATTTTTGGCATGTTGACCACTGTCAGAAGGCAACAAAATTTCTTTTTTTTCCAAAATCAGGCGAAAATTAATGTGCGCACTGATGTCATCTATAAAAATTACTTGCTGTGGCCTAATGAAGACAAACAGAAAAATCCCAGAGATCCAGACTTCAACAGAATTGTTCAAAATCAGTCAGTCCTACGAGTATACTGAAGTCAATCATCAATGACAATTCTACGGAATACTTGAACAAAAAAATTTATAATGAACTTTGACAATCATATTTCTACAAGAATTGCCACTAGACAAGCTCTGCATTGAGCCCTTGTCTCAGACACAATAGATGAAGAACTGCCCCGCCCACTGAGGCAACCCTCCAGACTAAATTTTTAGCTTAGGAGCGCATGCGCTCCTAGCCTCAAAAAGTTAGGCGCGCAGGCAAACATTTGGGCGCGCAAACAAAAAATCTGGTCGCGCAAAGTACTTTTTAATTTACAAGCCAAGAGAATAATGTACCTAAACAGACAATTAATCATTCTTTCATTATCATAGAAACAACATCAAAATTCACCATTTGTACTTAAAGAAAATTATATATTGTGATAAATGAAAGACCAAACAATAATTTTACAAGTAACTGTCTTTAATGTGTTCAAAGTCACTTCATCTCAGTCGTTAGGCCAGGCTGAATGATATGTCGGTCTCCTATGCCTCTGCAGGGTTGGACAAGTTTTTTAAAATCCAACCCTATTGGGCAAGTGCATGGTCATTTTCACTTGCCCGAACCAACTTTTCACTTGCCCGAAATATAAATGACATATATCTATGCATTTATCATTGCAACAATGAAATAGTTTTATTTTTTGGAAAAAAAAAACACTTAAATGTTTTAAGCAATAATACACTGAGTTATTTATGATGTAACGGTTAATAATTATTAACATTGCTACTCAAACCATTTTGTTATCGTTAAAGGTACAGATTTTCCACAACAATGAAGACAATTTTCTTTATTTCTTACAACTTTTCAGGTAACACTGCATGTCTAAAGTAGTTTCATTGACTGAAAAATAATTCTTAAAAAATTAAATACAATAAAAAAAAGCTCATGGAAAAAAGGACAGAGTAGAAAACATAAAAGGGGAAGAATAAAAAAAATAGGCTTCATTTGGAATTGCCTATAATTTATAAATTATAATCATTTAATAATATATGCTACACAAATGTCTAAAATTAATACCTTCAGTTGAAACTTTGCTATTAATATTAATTATTTCTTCAACTGTATCAAAACAATCTACAACTTAGTTTGAAAAGTCTGCACAACAGACATCTGCCCAAGTTTTCCTTAGACTTAGAGGAGTTCTAGTAGAAAATCCTATCAGTCACGCATTGCCAAACTTCCCTGTCCTGGACGCTCCTGGGCCATGAGGGAGGATCTCTTTTCAAACACAAACTTTGCCAACAGTCAAATATCACAAGTTGTGGCTGATTAAGATATTTATCTTCTTGATTTCCCCCCAAATTTAGGCCAGATGGCAGTTTAGAATCCCCTAAACAATTCTGGAAACACCGTGTATGACTCCCGGTCGCGCTAGGTCGCCGGCTGCACAAGCTTGAAGGCGAGATCTCGTCACCTGACCCCTCTAATGGTATAAGGATATCAAGTCTCGCGAGAGTCGGGCTGCCGAGAGGTCACGCCAGATGAAAACAAGATGGCGCCCCGGTTGTGTCGGGCCTGTTTTTTCGTCGAAAAAAAGCTGTTTGCCGCTTTATTTGCCGAGATAATGGTATCTACGGACTTGTAATGGGTTTTCTGACAAATGAACATGATTTTGCCTGGCATTGATATGACATTCTTACGGGAAAAAATAAGAAATTTTTGCCTCTAACAGCGCTATAGCCAATAATTTAGGCGCACCGCGGATTCTCTGCCGGTCGCGCAGTGCGCGACCAGAGTAAAAAGTTTAGTCGCATTTCGTAATTTTTGGTCGCATATGCGACCAAAACGGTCGCAGTCTGGAGGGTTGCGAGGTAATTTTATGTCTCCCAAAGGACATGAAATCCCCCAGGTATGGGCAGGGCAGTTCTGTATCCAGGTATACAGCCTCAGAGAATCATAACTTAGACTATATATACAATATACACATATTGCAACAAGGCTCGAAATTCATTTTTGGGAATAGGTGCACTGGTGCACCCAACCTAAAAAATGAGGTGCACAAAAAATTTTTTGGGTGCACCATATAAAACAAAACCTAATTGCAGGTCTTATTGCTGCTCTTCTGAGCTTGAAATTAAGAGCTAACTTCAAAATCTTAAACAAGTACTACAATAAAGATTTTATTATTTTTCTGATACTTAGAAACCAAGAATATCTGGTATATTATTACATTTCTAATGTTAAAAATTCCTACAAAATTTTTTTTTTTAAATTAGGTGCACAAATTTTGGATGCACAAAGGTGCACATGCACCCAGTATTTCGAGCCCTGTACTAGGTCTCCAATGTTAATCAACAACATCAAACTAGCACAAGCTTCATAAGTTTGGTTTATAACTCTGTGTTTCTATGGCAGATTTTCTCCTATCAAGGATTTGTTTGGACCCTTGCTACCATCATCATTATTTGTATCACACTGATGAAACCAAGCTCCTCCCCACCTTACAATTGACAGCAGTCAATTTACTACTGAATTAATTGATAAGTGAATGGGTTATTAATTACCTAACTACAATGCAATTAGTGCTGCAAACATTTTCAGACACTTTTTTCAGTCTGCTCTTTGCTAATAAAATCTCATCATCAGGGAATACTGATGAACCAAACAATACAGAACATAATCATATGTTCCTCATGGTGACATTCTAAAGAATTGACTATGAATCATAATTATATAAACTGTATGATAAATAAAATAAGTTGCTATAATTTGCCATAGTCAATACCAAGTGGTGCCACATAATTTTTTCTTTGATTGGCCGTTAAGCATGATCATGGCCATTCCCAAAAAAAAACATTTTGGACTATTTTGGATACATCTCAGCAAAATAGTACTAGCTATTAGGTCCATTTATGATTCTGAAAAAAAAAAACATTTTACTCAGCATGTTGAGCATAATTTTCATTGCCTGTACATTTGTATTATGTAAGAAAAATTTATGTGTGTCTGATCAAGGTCTGATCATGCTACCTTGACAACTCGGCCCCTGGACAACTCGGTATCTTCTTCTTTCTGTTGAGGAAGCCGCCTTCAGCGGTTTGAAGATTCTGCTTCCTATGGTGGTGGGTGCATGCCGAGGAGGTCAGGTTTCACAGCTTGCCCCTAAACTCCTCCAGAGAAGGGGAGAGGGCAATGTCTGCATCCAGAGTATTCCAGTCAGGAATTGTCCGCGGAAAGAAGGAGTTCTGTCTGTAGGAGGTCCT